TTCAGTGCATGGCTGCCGGCCGCCATCTTGGCTGGCAGTTAATTTGCATATCGCCCTGATTAGCCAATGGGAAGGGTAGCAGATGTACGGCTAATTACCATGTTTCTCTTTTATTAGATAGGATGTTTCTTGCAGACCTTTTCATGTTGATTGCTGTAGAGCTTTTTTTTATTCTTTGTAATTGCTGCATAATATTTCATAATATAGACGTATATTAACTTATGTAACCACTCTCCAGCTAGTAGACAATGAAATTATTTCTAGCTTTTTCAGTATTAGCAGAATTCTATAATTAACATAAAAAAAACATTTACAGCATTCTTGCTGACTTTTGGGTCCTTCATTAATGTAATGCTTTTTTTTTCTTCAGGAAGCTCAAAGGGTAGAGAGGTCAGAACACAATTAATGGGTCACTGTTTTAGGAAAGTACTGTATGGAATCAAAGGATAGAAGTGGGGCAAGTGTTCAATTATATTCTTAATCCTTAGGAAGAGGCAGATAGACTTTGATTATTTAGTGAAAAGTAAAGGGAAACAACACAAATTCTAATCCTATGTAAGTCGGTGTGTGGTTGTTCTCCTGCACAGGCCCTTAAGGTGCTGAGGACATCGGAGTTCATGCCCTATGTTGTCTTCATCGCTGCTCCGGAGCTGGAGACATTGTGCGCCATGCACAAAGCTGTGGTGGACGCTGGCATTGCTACCAAGCTTTTGACGGTGAGCACTTCTTTTTAGGTTAACAATATTCCTCCTACAATTTGTCCTTTTCCTATTGTTATGCTGGTGGTTCCTAATTTATATATAGATAACTCGGGCCTCAGAGCTCTGACTTGCATAACCAGTCACCTACTTGGATGCCTCACAGGCATCTTAAACTTAACGTGTACAAAGTAGAACATTTGCTTTCCCTCCCCCACCCCCACCCCCCAAAAAAAAACTCATGTTCTCTCCATCCCTACTCCCCAAATCTGCATCTTCTAAACCCACCCGCTTAACTCATGCTAGAAACCCAAGAGCATCTCCATTCAGTCATTTTCCTCACTTTTCACATCCAGCCCATCAGCTAATCCTAATGATTTTATCACCAACATAGGTAAATAGTCTGGGTCATTTCCATACCCTTTGCCACCATCATAATCCAGGGATGTCTCCATTGCATCTGGGTCCTTCATGACCTCTTCCGTGTTCATCTCAACTTACTACTCCCCTCACCCCGTAGCTCTCTGTGCCTCCTGGTCTTTTGGTCTCTTCACACATCCAGGCATTTCCTGCTTGGATTTGGCATTGCTGTTTTCTCTGCCCGGAATGCTCTTTCTCCCACTTGGTTCTCAGTTTAAAAGTAATGTACTCAGTGTCTTTGTAAGTAGATCTCTTAAAATGCATTGTTCCTGATTTTTTTATTTTATAGAACTTACTACAACTCCACAAGTTCTTGTGTTTATTTGCCCTTTATCTGTCTCCTTCACTATAGGGTAGGAACCCCCTCTGTCCTATTCATTGTTATATCCATAAATAATGAAACACAGTAGACACTTTAATAGAAACTCAATAAGTATTTGAAGAACATGTAGAATTGTGAAATTTCAAAACACTTGTAAAAGCTTTTCTTATTCATGCAGAACCCATTATGTACTCCCCTACATCATTCTAAAATGACTAGAAATATTCTATAATATATAAATAATGCTAGCAAAAAAAAATAATGTGAAGTTAGTCTTCAAAAATACATTTGTAAGATTTTCTTTTCTGGAAATAGGCAGCAAATTTAGCTTTGAGCTTAACAGTCACTAGAAATTGGGTTCCATAATCTAGAGTCCATTAGATTTCATCCTAAAATTATTGTCAGCAGTCTTTTAAATTAGGAATCTTATCCTAATGTCAATGAAACAGAAGATACAGCGTACTCATAAGCACAAACATGAACGCAGCTGGGAAGATGGGTACAGGAACAGGTGGTAATGTCTTTTTAACACTCTATGGATTAGATTTTGAGAATTAATATCAGAATCACAATAAAAAAACTATCCAAGCTACTAATTTCTTATGTTCACTCTGAGTTGCTATTTGAGCAAGTAAATATACATTATAATAAAAACATTTCCTTTTAAAACTCTTCGACAGGACTCTGACTTGAAGAAAACAGTGGATGAAAGTGCACGAATTCAGAGAGCATACAACCACTATTTTGATTTGATCATCGTAAACGACAATCTAGACAAAGCCTTTGAGAAACTACAGACTGCCATAGAGAACCTGAGAATGGAGCCACAGTGGGTCCCCATCAGCTGGGTTTACTGATGGGTCAATAAGGTTCACAATTAAAATGCAGCTTTTAGAAAGTGACGACAGCAAATAAACTTACTCCTGGGAAAACGCGTGCACGGAGAAGATGTCTGCAAGGCCAGGCCTTTTTACCGTAGATTGAAATGCCAGTACACTCTTCTGAATTTTTATAGACAGTGTGGCTGGGAAGGGGTACTAATATATAATTTATCTTAATTTTTCTAACTTTTTATGGACAATCTATTCATATCACATAAAGAAATGCGTTGAAGCATTTTGTATATGTTTTGATTTAGTGCCCTTGCCTTTTTCATCACAAGAATTTCCAACTCACTCATTCGAACCTTGGTCTCACATTTTCACTGTGATAATGAATACTTGAAATAGTTTTGTAAAGTTGCCATTTAGCTCAGTATTTAACAAGTGAAGGGGAAGTTACTCTAGAATATAGTCGTTATTGGCCTTCTTTCCTAATATAATTTCTTAAAGGAGCAGAACCTGAATGTCAGTGCTACAGCAAGTCTACCACCATCCAAATCTGACATCAGAAGTCTGCTCAATGCTACATAGCTTTGTTATTTCAAGAGATCTATGGCTGTCCGTTCTGACTTATACAGATGTATTGGGTTTTTCCCCCTTCATTTCTATCTTTAGTGAAAAAATGAAGAGCAATACCTTGCACTCTCATTTGTCGCAAAGACAGGCTGATGTGAAGTTACCATGTACACAGCAAGCAAGCTGGGTGGGCTCAGAGAGTGCCTCCTGTAAAACAGCAAAATGACACTTGCCGTTTATTTTTTTTCACAGGTAAAAATTTAATGGACAAAAACGAACTTCTTACACAGGTTTTTATTAGGCTGTGGTCAGCAACTGTATCATGCCTCTGCATTTTTCTGTGATGCGTAAAGATGCCTTTGAGTTTGAAGTTTGAGGCTGTGAACAACCAGTGTGCTTTTTGAAGTATGATGTGATCGTTAAGGTTATCTGTTCGATTTGTTGTGTAGAAAACCCAGATCACAATGATTTTTAAAATTTGGAAATAATGGTCAGCTATTTTACCTATATATAACATATACATTATATAATATATACATTGTATATATTATATGATATGTATTAAATTTTTTACATTTCTGTAAGGAAATGCACTTTTGTTTAATGATTAGGGGAAAAAAACAGTTCTCCTCTAGATGCATTAATATATACAAATTTCCAAATCAACCTCAGTTAATACGTTCCTTTAGGATTTTTGGATGGTATACTTTCTTCCTGAAAAGTATTCAGAGATGCGGCTCATCATCGAACTAAGTCATCCGTATTTTATATTGCTGCTTGCTTTTCACATAGAAGTCCTCACACTTGAAGAGTTTGGTCCTTACCCGGTGGTGGTTGTCTTTGTCTGGTGGCAGGCACCAGGTACCTGGCTGCTGCATGTTCTCCGTCACCAGGGCTGTCACATGGAATGCCCGCGGGAGGGCTGGAGGAGGGGGAAATGCAGGTGGTGAGTGGTACACACACACTGTTGTAAATCTTTTCACAATAAAACAAAACTCTCAAGTTGTTGTATTTTAAGAGTGGAAATCCATAGATATTTTTAAATTCCAGGATTTCATATCCAGAACACAAATTCATGTTCTTTGTCCATAGGATAGGAAATTGGTGGCAAAATGTATCACATTCATTTAATATCTTCGGTAACTTTTAAACCGCCTGTATCTACGTCACATTATTGGCTTCTCCGAGCAACATGGATCCAAGCACAGTGTTGAGGTGAGGTCCTGTGACTGAGTGTTCCCACACATTGTGAGTTTTAAGAGGAATTTCATTTCCACATTCTCTGTGTGCCTTCGTCTGTGAACAGCTTTGGGATCCTTGTAGCAGCACAAACAGCTTCTCCACAAATTATTTCAACCATCTTGGCAAAATAGAGATGATTTTTACATCATATGTATTTTTAGCTTTATCATATGGGATAAAGTGCATATTATTTAGAAAATAGTCTATATGTAAAGGAGTTGTTTCTATTATAAATGGTACTCATCAGAAACTATTAAATACACACTAGTTCCCTACTAATATGAAATAAGCGATGCAGTTTAGTTCATTTCAGCCGAGAAGCCAGAGTTGAAGAGAATACATTTAGAAAAGTTCATTGTATCTCAATAAAGCCACTGAACTTGGAACTCGAGTGCCATCTGAGTCTGCAGGAACCACAGAGATCTCGGGGCAGGCAGGCCCAGCGGCCCAGGATTCTCCCGCAGCCGTGAGTAAGGCTAAGATGATTAGCTTTGCTGAAGAGAAAGTGGTTTGAAGTGATGTTGAACGATTGCTAATAGTCACAGTGCACACACACATGTGTTTATGCTTTCGGGAAATAGGATGTTCCTGTTTGGACATTAACGACCCGAGGATTCCTTGTGGGCAGGCGAGTATCCGCATTCAGGGCATGACTGTTTATATACAAGTAGACATACATATATTTTTCACTTTCAAATGTAAAAATATCCAGAGTTGATGTCTCTGGTTAAGTAAAATTTAACCCTAATTACTGGAATATATGTGATGTGCTATAAGTGGAATTTCACCTTTATTATAGCCATGCCTTGATTGTGCATTCTCAATTTCTATTTGATGCTTCGGTAATATCAAATATCCAGTACCTCAGGGCTTGATTTACTCTTGCCAACTCTAAATATACAATTGCTGAGCACTGCTTACTAAAAATCGTTATCATAAACCCAATATGACTACTGCAAAAGTAGCTTGAACCTAAATTCTATAATTTAGCAAAATTTACTTATAATTGCTGACGACACATTTTCCTTAAAAGAGCAAATTGGTAATTAATACAAATTAGAAAATACAAACTAGCAGTAAAATACAATAATGTGGCATTATAGATTATGGCCAGATACTAGTTGTTTTGACCATTATATCCTAATAACAATAAACAATGATCTTTACTTTAAAGTTTTATTAAATTGGTATTTATTTTTATGTATAACAAGTGTCATGATCATGATTGGAGTTGATTTTCAAGGTGGATAGCCATGGAATTAGGTACAATTATTTTGAATTGGTAAACACTGAGCATAAAAGTTTGAAAATTGATCAAAATAATGACCTGCTTAACATTGCACTTTTACAACTTCTGAAAAAATATTCAATTTTTCCAGAAATCACAGGCTAGAGAGCCAATAATTTTTTAATAATGAACCTTTATACTAAATACGGAAAAGGCAATCCTGAAATTTTGTGTATATAGATAGCAGGTCATTTTTTAAATGTTTAAGTCACTAT